AGCCAGGGCTGATTGATGAGGACTCCCCTCTGAGTGTGGATTACATCTCAGGCTTTGTGCCTCAAAACAAAATCCTCAGTTAACACAGCTGGACTCAGTCACATCAAACAATGAGTTTGTACGTTATAGACGAAAAACAAACAGCCCTGGGAAAGTGATAGGAACAGGCTCAACTGGAAATAAGGCACATATGCAGTATCTCAATCGCCATCAAGGAAATGAGGGTGTGTACCCAAATGGACTGCCTGGATACTGGTACACTGCCTATTATCTTTTTACAAAAACCTTTTAGTGTAGCTTTTAATAGTAAACTGGAGCTGACTGTATCCACTTCACTGTATTTGTCCTATGAAATATCTCCGGGACAGCACAGCAGGATCAATGAGAGCTGCCTTCTCTCTCTGTTCCAGTTTATCCTCGTCGTCTTACATACATCTCACATGCACGTATCTCCTCAGATAGCTCAGAAACACGTGGCAATACCCAGAATGCAAAAAATAAAATATTCAGGTATATCTCAGCAGCATTTCAGAGAGCAAACATTTCTGCATCCACATATGACACTAACGGCTGTGAAAAGGAGGGCAAACAGGCAAACCGCGGGATTATTATTTGTCGTCACTGACGACTGGCTTAGCCGACTTTGCATTGGTCACTCCTTTGGCACCCATTCAGTTAAACCGCGCAGTGATTGACGGGGCACAGTAATCCCACACATGCGGGAGCTGAAGCTGAATGTCTCCCATCAGTCAAAATCATATCAAAATGCACACAAACTGCACGTATTACCCATAAACAGACAAATATTTCCTGTACGATTAGTGCTCTCCCCCGTACTGTGTGTCTGTCCTCATTCTCCATGTCTCACATCTTCCCAAAGACTCTCCCTCAGCCTCCAATCCAGGCTATTATTAGCTTCTCTCACTGTGGCGGGGGGGGCGCGGTGGTGAGGGTGTGAGGGAGGGAGAAGCAGTGGGCCAGGAGAGAGAACTGATGGCATGAGCTGAAGCAGACTGGGAGGGAGAAGATGGCTGACGCGTATATAGGTCATAAAATCAATGGGAATCAGGTTTTTTCATAAGGCAAAGATGGAGATATTTATGGAGATCCAGAAAGGTGAATGTGTCTGAGAAAGGTACAGGGAGGTCACAAGACTGGCTGACTGATGATGTGTGCGTGCACGTGTGTGTGTGTGTGTGTGTGTGAAGAAGTAATGTACGCCAGCTGTGCCAGAGGATGAAATATTTATATGTTATGAGAATATAGCTGCATAGCTACAAACTGTGTCAAATACGATCTGGGGTTAGTGTGTATGAGCCATATACAGAGAGTGAGAGTGAAACACACACACATACGCAGACATGAGGCAAGATGCTGAAAGATGCAGGAGAGACGTGAGGTGGAGGGAACAGATGGGGGACCTGTAGATGCATTAAAGCACTGACACCCGTATCAAAGTAAAACCACAGGCTGGTATGACAAGATTTAAGAAATGGTGAGACAGAGCAAGACCTTGGCGGTGAAGGTGAAGGGATAAGGGGAGAGATGGGGGGGGGGGTGAGCGCGGAGTAAAGGGGCAGGGAAGGGCACGAGGTGAGTTTGGAGGAATAGAGTGAGAGATAAACTGCGCGTAGAGGAGCAGAAAGAGGAATAAGGTGAGTGCAGAGACACTCAGCTTTCAAATCTGGCGAGTTAAATGTTCTCTTAAACGAAGCTGAGTCAACCATCACTTGTAAGGGAGATCGCTCAGGGTCACAATTGTGGCAGTTTTTCCCCAGACACCGAAGGAAACGTTTATACAAGTCACAAACAAGCCGTGTTTAAACAAAGATGCCCCCCGATGTAATACGACTTGACATTTTGGCAGCCAGGAAACACAGGCTTGAGGTAGCAGGTGTGATGCTCATACCGTTTCTAATTATTATTGTCCTAATAGGATGGGTATCGGGGGGTGGAGTGCAGGGGGAATGAGCGTGCTGATTTGCTGTTTGCCATGGTTGGGAGGAGTTTCATTGTGTACTGACATCAGCATTCAAACGTGTGAGAATAAGGAGAATGACATCATGTCCTTGAAATATAGCAGGCAGGCAGCTGGAGCGTATTATGAGATGGGGAATGCTATTTTTTGTACACCGGCTATCATTTACATGTGACCTATTATGAATAAAATACAGTATTTACAATTACAAACATGATAGTGTTATTTTTGGATGATTATGTTAACATCTAATAAATCTTGTTATATGTTACCTTATTTAAACCCATACACGGGGGTGTCTGATGCATCTTATTCGGCCCAGAAGCGTAAGGGGCTGTGCCACAAAGGCCAGACGACAACACCCCTCGCTCCGATTGCCTCAGCTGTTTGTCCGCATAGGTTAAACCCGCACGTGTGACGGCTTTTGAAAAAAAACCGCCCCCATAAACAGCCAACTGCTACACGGCAGGTTCACGCACTGCGGTCACACTGATTAGCGGTCAGGGATTGAGATGAGCTTGCGATGACAAAATGATTGTTGCTTTAGGCAAGCCTCCAATGAGGTGAGAAAGAGCTGCATTATTACAAATTACGAAGTCATGTCGATAGCACTTTTATTCACAAGCAGAGTGATGTATGAGTCCAGCTGACAGGAGACATCTTAGCTTAAGAAGTAAGAATCAGAAAGAAAAACTGAAATTCCTGCATAGTTAGGCTATCACGCAAGCCAGGCCTAAGTTAAACTTTTTCAATTTACCTGATTGCATTTCACATAATAAATGTTTTTTAATGAAATTAGATAATGAAGGCACTCGTTATTGTCCCTGTACACAAAATAATTATTTTCTTTTGATAAGTAAGAAAACTAGCACTCCTGAGCTTCTATTCCCAAGTGAATGGATCATAGATGGAAACGTCCAGCTTTACACAACAGCCTACTAAGTATCTTGCTATCTGATTCACTCCCAATGTTTTTTTAGCACCAGAAGCTCATGGGAATCACAATATATGACTTGTTTTAAAAACTGCGCATAACAATCATAGAAGTGGGAAAGGTACTGCTACTATCGATGGGATAAGTGTTTTTTTTTCTTCAGACATTTAGTACAAACTGGAACAGAAAACTCTGATCAGGGTCTCATGTTTTATCTTCTGAAACCTAAGGAGTAGATCTTTATTCTGAGCATGTTATACGATTCCCCATCTTATACTCATACATTTTAGGTAGAATTGGCTCAAATTCATCTGATGATCATCTTGGAACAGCAGCCAAATAGTACCTTTTAGGTTATTGCCATACCTGTAGTAATTGCTGCATCCAAACTGAAGTTCCTCGCACACACCTTACACATGGATCTTATCACAACTACTACAAAAAAAGCCAGTAATCACCAACAAGGCACTCCTTAAGCTATTACGACACATTATTCACAATGTGATTGAAGTAATCGTAAAAAGTAACACGTCATTCATCAATAGATTATCATATTCTGTCACACTTATTCGCAAACAATAAGAAAGTATTTGTGCTTAGACATACAATACTTATTTCTTGATATTGTTCAAGTGAAGGCTCCTGCAGTGTTCTGTGGTGATGAACTAGTTCTGATGTTTGGTAAAACTGACATGATGTATCAGAGCATCAGATATTTTCCATTTTTAGAGCAAAGAAATGTAAAAATTTGAAAATTATCAAAGGTCATTTATAAACCTTAAATTACTTTTAAATCTATCTCTAAAAGTAATTTTGGGACCTTTAAAAATCAAATCCTGTGTACAGAATAGAAAGTCTTTATTTGGCTGTTGTTGGCCATGTACCAGCATTGAGATCTGGGCCAGGCAGGTGTGGTCGCCAGGTGTGGAGGTTGGATTACAGTCTAGAATCAAGAAAAGAGAACCAAGATGAGCAGCTGAGATCCTTTAGAATGGCCTCAGCGCTTAAATCGCCAAGATATCTACCCAGATCTTAGACGTCATTAGTTTTTAGCTCCAAAACACTACAGAGAAGCTTAAAATATATAGCAAAGATAAAAATAAATTCCTGTACTGGAGCCACTGTATTGACAGGCGCAGTGTATTTCAAAGTAACTGATAAATTTGCAAGATTTGCGATGGGTATTCTGACTCCCGATAAATTCATTTTACATAAGGGCATTTATTACAACTAAGGATTACTTAATAACTAACCTGCAGGACGGGTGGACCAAAAATGCTTGGTGCATTTCCGTAACCGCCCTCTAGAAGTCGCTTCTGAGCTATTAATACTAAGTTGCCCCCTAAGGAGAAGCCGTGCATGGAGAGTACATCTGTGCTTATGTGCGAGTGATTGAACTTGCATCGGAAAATAGAGAAAGGTTACAACATTTCTGTCCGAGTTCGTCACTGCTGACGGGACAAATGCAAAAGAGCGCGAAGGGGGCGGAACTGCGCTCGCAGTCGGGAGGGTGATGCTCGGTGGCCGGTAGGAGGTGGACACCTGCTAACCTCCACCCCACCACCATCGTTTCGTCACTAGTTTACCGCACCTGCCTTCTGTTCCTTCGTACCTGCCAGAGAAATGACTGAGTCCTGTTTGCGGATTTATCCAAATACAGCTTAAGCACAAAGCGTAAATGTAGTTCTAACAAGGTAAGATCCTCATAATGAAAAATCCTCTGCTGTAATTGCGAAATACATCAGCACAATTCTAAGATTCCAGGTAAACAGTTTCCCTTATCTTTCCATGACGAATACATTTTCCACTAACCGTTGTCTATTCCTTAATCACTTCGGCGACCGTATTCTTCAAAATGTATTGCTCGCGGTAATTTTGGGGAGGGGGTAACACGAATGATAAAGATGATGATTGTGGTGACTCTCTCAAAATATAGTGATAATCAGATATAAACCAAATATAAATACGGGCATGTGGGTGCACAAGGGGGGTATAGGACAACTAGAAGAAAAGACACATTGGTCTACGCGTCTTCAGGGACGCGAGCATCACTAACGGCCGCCGTCTCTACACACGGCGCCGGGGACGCAATTCCAGTCATTCCGGCCGCTCCATCCTCAGCGCTCCCCGCTCACACTTCCCTGCGGCCAGTTCTCCGACTGACTATAGAGGGAGTGAGAAACGAGTGAGAGAGAGTGGAGAGAGAGAAAAGGAGGGAGGGAACACATAGGAGGGGAGAGAGAGAGAGAGAGAGAAAAGACAGAGACTACCTGCTCGATCGAAATACGGGGGAGACACGAGCACACGCGCGCGCACACGCACGCGAGCATTCGCCGAGCAACAAGACAATAAACACCAAGAACTGCAAAAAGGACCTGGAAGAGTTGTCAAGAGGAATAGTGTTAAACGTAGGATCACCTTAAAACTACCAAACCCCGAAAGAGAAAGTCAGTAACCATGTATCTGAACAGGGAAGAGGAGAACGGCAAAGGTAATAAGGAAAGACATCGCGTATTTGTTAAATATATGTATCCACACAGATTATCAGCTGTCATTGGCGTCAGTGTTGCAAGTGCACACATTCTGTTAGAGTCATAATCACGCCTCTCTTCCCTCGTCTGTGTTATTTATTACTGATGTGACCCTGTTGCCACCGTTATTAATAATAATGCAAACGTGGGAGTCTGTGTATGTTATTGTCTGTGCATGTCTTGTATAGGTAGGTTGTTGCACTAGGCACGTCATTGGTAGATTCCAGGAAGATTTTTTGTGGGTTTCAATAATGGTTAAGATCGAAATAATAAGTATATAAGAATACTAAGGAACTGAACTCTTATTTAAAATAAACGGTCGCTACTTGCTGTCCCGTGCCGGTTGTGTGCACAATACAATGGTCACGTCTTCATACTCGTTAGAAGAACAACACACAAGGTCATAGCAAGCAGCAGCAATCACGGCCACAAGTAGCTATGTGCATGTATGACAACATCTGTATGTATTTCCTGGAATGTTCAGGTCGTCCCTGTAAGGATGCACGTAGGGATGCTCATCTTAGAGAAGGGGTACGCGACGTGGACCCATGGTGGAAGTATTAGGGGTACTTCATAAACGGGGAGTGATCAGCGGGCGGCATCTATTTATGTCATTCCCCCACGTGTTTTAGGGGCGTGATAGCCGTTTCATAGGGAGAGTCCGGTTTAAATGCCCTTTCCCTGCTTTTTCACCTTTCCCCTGTTTAATTCTGCCTGTATGCCTTTCATTTTTTTCCGCCCTGGTACAGGTCAGGGGGATGTAATTATCAATGAAACGCCCAGGATACACGACGAACACCTGCTGCTATAGAGTCGGGGTGGGGGTGGCGAGGGGGCGGATTTTACTTCTTTTTGATGTTAGGTAATGATTGTATTGAGTGTTAATGATACGGTAATGAGACCTGTGTGAATCACATTGAATACAGTGCTGCGAACCGCTTAAAAAACAAGGAAGGTCAATCAGTACTAGAAAACGATGCACTGTCTCTAAATGTGATGATGTGCTCTGTTATTGTTATTAGCGGAGCCATAAATTTACCGTCGATTCCACATCACGCTGTTATAATCAAATATGAAAGCAAAGCCTATCTTAAATGGACCAGAGCTGAAACCGTAGTCGAAAACAATGCGATGCGCCTAAAACGGACCTGTAGGTTTTTTTCTGTCCGAGAGCACGTACAAAGAGAAAACGCACCGAAGTTATTACGTTTTCCACATATCCGAATCATATTTGCTCGTAGAACAGTTCCGTGCATCCTGGTTCGATCAAGGGGTGAAAGTGGCGGTCGGGTGAATGGCTAAGCATACCGATCAGAGGAAGGTGTGAAACCGAGCGGGGCATGACTCCCGGAGCCCGTGTCCTCCGCTCTCATGCTGGTGGTTCCCACAGCACATGACGCCCTCCTTATAAATTCCCCGCGCGTCTCAAGGTGGAGTGCCGGGGGAAGATGGAGCGTGCGTAAGTGCGTGCGTGTGGGTGCGGAGGGATAGGGGTGGGGTATCGATCATGAGCAGGTGAATGTTCAGTTTTCACAAATGGGATACGAGGAGGGCTAAGCACGTGCTCAGTACTATTACGACGAAATGCCACCCCTCCCGACCCACCCCCAGATCTCTGCCCTAACTCGATTGCCGGTAAAACAATCCTCCGCCGTAGCAAAGCGTCAGCGACTTTATCAATTTAAAACCGCGCGTGACAGTTCGGAATATTCTGTTGGTAGGACCGAATTGAAAAGGAATTTATTAAATAGGATACTGTCACAACAGTGTTTCCGTGGCAAAGTTAAATTTCATTGATGGTGAAGTTAAATTTCATTGATGGTGAATTAAAATTAATTTTAAATATTAATCTCCGACTATATTCCATATATATATATATATATATATATATATATATATATATATATATATATATATATATATGAATATAGCTGACAGTCCAAGTGACTCTAGTCCTTCAAGTTTTCCTTAAGCCCTAGCCATTACTGAGTATGAGTGTACTTCAATGAACGAAATCATCTTACATCTGAAACGTAACCCTTATTCTGTTTTTCTAACAAGTGGGCTAATAAAAGCAAATACAATGGTGCTCTTTTTACACAATGGTGGGTCCCATTTTTGTTGAATAGTGAGGAAGAGCATTAAAGCTCTCACCTTCCTTGTGTGCCTTCCCTGTCTGGGCACCTGTGTAGGCTGCCCATCACCACAAGCCACCGCCTCTCTCTGTAAGCAATGACGCCTTTATCTCTCCTCTTCTTGTCTCCTCTCCTTTGTGTCACCTGACACTGTCCAAGGCTGTGTAATTCACAAGCCCACGGAGTGTCACTTCTCCTGGAGAAAGGCTTGAAGTGGATGGGATTCGGGTACGAACTCAGCCAAAACCAGTATGATCCAGCTCCAGTTACCCGGCTGATTGCGTAGCTCAGTTCCAAACCCACTGGCATGGTTGCACATCAATGACACAGCCGTGTGTAGTCTAGTTCAAAGCCCAGTAACACGGGATAAAGCCAGGAGTATGGGTGAGTGATGGACCAATGGATGGAGAACTTTATACAATGACAATGTTTGGGTCTCAGTCATGGCTGTAAATTATGGGAGGGGAGTCGTAACCCCTCACTTCCCCCAATAAGTCAAAACCGGCTAATACAACCCCCACAATCACATTTCCTCCTAAATGGGTGGAGACCTCAATCTCGGTAGAATGTGGGTTATACCAACAGTACCATGGCTGTGGCACAAACACCTCTTCCTAAAAATATGAATAATTCCTTATCTCATTGTTTCCCTATCTGGACCTCGAGGACCCGCAGGCAGTCTAAGTTTTTGCTCCTCCCAGGTCCTGACCTATGAGGGACCAAAATTGTGGACTGTCTGGCAGGGAGCTGGGACCGTCTTTGCGTCCCTGAGGACTGGATTGGTAAACACTACCTTAGCTATTTCCCAGATGTGCTTATCTGATGCCACTGTGTAAATGCCTTTGCATCTCTTTTATACATGTAATAGTGAAAGGACTGATATTTGACTGTCCATCATTTGATTTTCCATTGCCTTTTGTTTGCTGCACTGATGCTTGAGTCCAAACTCTGCACTAAATCAGAAGATGAGTTCTTATCTCCAGTTGCCGGGAAATGTGTTTGTGCATGACGAATAAAAACAAGATCCGGGACTGCTTTCCGTCTTGTGCGGTTCCTCCACAGTTGGATTGAAATGAGTCAGGTTTTGGTTTCATTGCAGTGGCACGTAGCCCCATGTGTGGGCTGGGTGGCCTCATGAGGAGAATCCATCCACCACCCAGATCCCTTTATTTAGATCATGCCGTGCTTGTTTTCTGACTAACTGAATCTAAAACTGGATTTTCTTCATGGAACAATATTTGGCGAAGGTCACGATGATCTCGAGGATCCTTTGGGAGTGAGTGTCCTGTGTCCAATTTGAACCTTGGTGGAGATGATCCACCTGTCCCCAGATTAACAAAGGAGGGCAGAGCTCCTCTGGACCACCACTCTAGCTTCATTTCTTAAAAGGGCTGCAAGTCTGGGGAAGTTTGGGAAATGCCAAATTCATTTGTTGACTGGCCTTTGTGTCACAGTGGTGGTGAAGCCTGTGAGATTAAGGGGGAGACTACTGGAAAATGTTAATTGTGTGCAGTGTGGTTAGCTGATAGGCAACTGGGAGGGGGGAGCAAGGGCTTACCCCAGAATACTAAGTTGCTTGATTAGAACCAAAGGCCCCATGGGGTTTGCTATTGGAGAAGAGGTCCCCGCCCTAGTCAAATGCCCATTGGCTGGTTAAAGACCTACACATCATCTAGCATTGCCCTTAATATGTAAAACCGGTTCCCATAAAATGAGATTTGCGAGTCATGATTATCAGATGGGCCCGGTATTGATTTATGCTAACTTCTTCCCATAGCTAGGATTAGGACAACTCTCTGAGTTACCAATCAAAGAAAACGGTTGAAACCTTGTAAAAAAGAAATTGCCTGCAAAAATGCATGTAGGTCCCCAGTTAGTTTTGTTGGGAAGGTGGAGGTGGGAAGCTCTTGCTTCTCTCCTTGTGGGGTGTGGCTGGGAGGAGTTGGGGCAGATTTAGGCGGCTGAGAGGACAACCTGAAGGAAAGTGCAGGAAACAATGCCGGTGTCAACAGGGGCTCATTTTGGGCCCCCAACTCAGACCAATCCAATTATGTTCCAAATTTTTTAGGAATCATCCTAACTCCCCCCTCCCCTTTACGGTGCCCCAGTGTGGGAGTCTGGCCATGGACGGGGAATCCATGAACTTGGACTGGACCAAGCGTGCCTCAGTGTCTCTCTCTCTCTCTCTCGCTGTCTCTGTCCAAGTTGTAAGAGTCAGTAGTAATTTCTCATTAATTGGAATATCAAGCGGCGCGTCCCGGTCTTTGTCCCTGGCCCTGTTAATATTACATACATAGAGGACAAAGTAATAGGCTCATAATGAGCTGCTTATCAGTGTTTTATTTGACGAATGAGAGGCATGGGGTGGTAGCAGAGTTGTGTGGTAAGTAATGGGCCTCAGATATGGATGAATTTATAGGCAGCCTGTGGACTTTGAAGAAACTGAAGGACAATGCAATGGCTCACCGTGGAGCCTGAGCCATACGAACCTCAAACGTGGAATATGAGCTGTGTTAATGACAGTAAAGGTCGCTTTAGGAAACCAAGCTCCGCAGGATGAAGCTGTCATGTGACGTGATGGTGTGATGCATTACAGAGCTGTCGCTGTAGCCCCCCCCCCCCCCCCCCGGGTTCATTTTATAGCTGTCGAACACAATATCCATGTATTTTTCTGTGTTGATATCTACATTGGGGAGGAGCAGGGCGTGAGCAGTGCTGGGCTGATATACTGCTTATCGGCAGGGAGGCGAAGGAGAGAGAGAACGCGGACGGAGAGGGTTAAAGATCCCTATGTGCCGGCATCCCTGCCTTTAATGAGCGAGTTA